AGGAAGCCGGGGCCTAATCTGACGTGATGGAGATTTGAGCCTGTTTTTTCTTCTATTGGGTGCAGGTTCTCTAGTCTCTGGTCTTCTATTATGTGCAGGTTCTCTGGTAATAATGTTCAGGTCCTTGATCCACTTTGAGTTGAGCTTTGTGCATGGTGAGAGACAGGTTTAATTTCATTTCACTGCATATGGATTTCCAGTTTCTGAGCACCATTTGTTGAAGAGGCTATCCTTTCTCCAGTGTATGTTTTTGGTGCCTTTGTCTAGTATGAGATAACTTATTTATGTGGGTTTAAAATTTTATATTAAGGGACTGGGGTTGTAGCTCAGTGGTAGATCATTTGCCTTGCATGTTTGAGGCACTGGGTTCAAAACGTAGCACCACATAAAAATAAATAAATACAGATATCTATTATTTAAAGACTCTATATTAATGTTTAAAAAATAAAAAAAGGTGGGCTGGGGATATGGCTCAAGCGGTAGCGCGCTCGCCTGGCATGCGTGCAGCCCGGGTTCGATCCTCAGCACCACATACAAACAAAAAAAAAATGTTGTGTCCGCCGATAACTAAAAAATAAATATTAAAATTCTCTCTCCCTCCCTCCCTCCCCCCCCCTCTCTCTCTCTCTCTCTCTCTCTCTCTCAAAAAATAAATAAATAAATAAATAAAAATAAAAAAAAGGACTGAGGATACAGCTCAGAGTGCCCCTGGGTTCAATTCTAGTACCACAAAAAACAAAAAGATATTAGTGATCCTTTCTGAGCCGGTGAGGTGCCATGCTCCTGTAGCTCTAGCTATTTGAGAGGCCAGGTAGGAGGATCGCTTGAGTCTCTAAACTTGAGGCCAGCTTGGGCAACATAGCAAAACCCTGATATCATCACCCCTCTGCTTGCTGTCTCTGTCATTTTGACTACCATGGTCATCTTACATATGAAATCATATAGTGTTAGCCTTTTCGTCACTTATTTGACTGAGCAGGATTTTGTCAAGATTCATCATATTGTAGCATGTGTCAGAATGCTCTTTCTTGGTGTGGTCCTGGGTGTTGAGCCCAGGCCCTCATGCATACTCAGCAAGAGTTCTGCCACTGAGCTATAGCCCAGCGTTTGAAAGTCCTTCCTTTTTAAGGCTGCATGCCTATGCCACATTTTATTCATCCATTTGTGGAAACCTGGATTGTTTCCACCTTGGGCTAATGTGAGTAATGTGCCGCAGGCTTCCTGGCCCCGGGCCGAGCGAGCTGGCTGAGCCCCGCTCCC